TTGAGGATGCAAAGAAGATGATTGTTCTGTTTGACTCTATGCAGTTGGCTCACAAGGTCATTCTCAACTCCTTTTACGGATACGTCATGCGAAAAGGATCCCGTTGGTACTCCCTCGAGATGGCCGGTGTCACTTGCTTGACTGGTGCCCGCATCATCCAATTGGCCCGCTCTCTAGTCGAGCGCATTGGACGACCCCTGGAGCTTGACACCGACGGTATCTGGGCTATTCTACCAGCGACCTTTCCGGAAAACTTTGCTTTCAAACTCAGCAACGGCAAGAAGCTGACGATCTCGTATCCTTGCACGATGTTGAACCACTTGGTCCACGCGCAGTACACCAACCACCAGTACGAGACACTGGTAGACCCAGAAACCTTCCGGTACGAGAAGCATAGCGACAACTCCATCTTCTTCGAAGTCGATGGGCCGTACAAGGCCATGATCTTGCCGACATCGAAGGAAGAGGATAAGAACTTAAAGAAGCGTTATGCTGTGTTCAACCACGACGGTAGCTTGGCGGAACTGAAGGGTTTTGAGGTGAAGCGTCGTGGTGAGCTAAAGCTCATCAAGAATTTCCAGGCTCAGATCTTCAAGTTCTTCTTGGAAGGTACAACACTGGAAGAAACGTATGGAGCCGTCGCGAAGGTCGCCAACCGATGGCTCGATATTCTCGACACTCGTGGAGCGACACTGGCAGATGAAGAGCTCATCGATCTCATTGTGGAGAACAAGAGTATGACGAAGACGTTGGAGGAGTATGGAGCGCAAAAGTCTACTGCTATCACAACTGCCAAACGTCTCGCTGAGTTTTTGGGCGAACAGATGGTGAAAGACAAGGGTCTAAACTGCAAGTACATCATCTCCAAGACGCCCAGGAACGCTCCCGTCACTGAACGTGCCGTTCCTTTGGCGATCTTTTCGGCAGAGGAAACTGTCAAAAGGTACTTCTTGAGGAAATGGTTGCGAGACGATCCTGGAGAGATGGACCTTCGTTCTATCCTTGACTGGGATTATTACCGCGAACGTCTGGCATCTGTCATCCAAAAGCTCATTACCATCCCTGCAGCATACCAGAAAGTCCGAAACCCCGTTCCCAGGGTGCCGCATCCTGACTGGCTTGACCGCAGGATCCGTCAGAAGGAGGACAAGCTCCAACAGACAAAGATGACGGATATGTTCAGCAAAAAGGTGTTAACCAACGGCGACGCCAACGTTGCGAACAACAAGCTGTCTGGAGATTTCGAAGACTTCGGCTCTGCAAAGCTAACGCAGAATCAATCCCAGATGAAGAAGGGCATAGTCACTAAGATGGTGGCGAAGCGCAAGGAGCCCGAGCCTGCAGTACCTATTGTCGACCCATACGCCGCACTTCCCAAAGTCATGCCAAGCATCGATAAGGACTATTCCGGATGGTTGATGTACCAGAAACAGAAGTGGAAGATTCAGCGAGAAGCACGGAAGCGCAGACGACAACTGTTCGGAGAGAAGGCTGTTGATGCGTCCGATGCGATCGGTAGCTTTTTCAGGAACCAGGCTCAATCTTTGTACATCAGTACATGGCAGCTTGTTCAGCTGCGACCGACCGAGACGCCAGGCGAGGTCAGAGCTTTCGTCCTGATCGACAAGAAGATACACGCCCTCAAGATCATCGTGCCTCGACAATTGTATCTGAACCTGAGGAGTGAAGATCTTCCAGATGTCTCGATTAGTGGGTGCTCTGTGGAGAAGGTCGTCAACCATTCTCTGCCGAACGGGCATCCATCGATCCATCTGTTCAAGCTCCAGATGTCGGAAGAGACATACGTCCAGGAAGCAAACAGTATTTCAGCATTGTTCAACCATTCCAGTGTCGAAGGCGTATACGAGAAGCATGTGCCACTCAATATACGAGCCATACTTGAGCTGGGTAGTACCTGCACATTCGACGAGTCGCAGAAGGGTGTGCTCGGAAAGGGTCTTGAACAAGGTTTCGATCTGTCGGCACTGCGAAAGGTGCCGACAAAAGAGCCATACCTGGCTGAGGCACCGTTCAACTATCTATACCTCTATCACGTCAGCAGCGGAGACCGCAACATCTACGGTATCTTCTCAACATCAAAGAATGAGGCGCACATTGTCATCCAGAACAAGTCCAAGGATTCTCAGGGTATGCCTAACGTCGACCGCATCTACCGGGATGCACTGCAACGACGGATGGAAGACAGCAATGGCGAACCGTGGCAGACTATGATCGAGTACCAGGATGACATTCATTTCAAGACAACGATGGTGACTACAAAGCGGAAGGCCCTTCTTGAGGTCGGGGACATTGTCAAAAAGATGAAGGCCGACGAAAGCGGGCCCATGATTGTGGTCATGCAGTCGCCAAACCAGGCTCTTCTCTCCCACGACATTCCTATCCTTAAGGAACTACCCATCTTACCGCTTCACCCTGATGAGACTGATAAGCAACTACCACCACTCGGCTGGCAGGCGTTCATTGCCAGGCGACTAGTAGGCCACTATCTTGATCTTGGGTCCTGGGTTGCCCATCTGCTGGAGCTTGCTCGCTATGGAGACGTCCCGCTCTGCAACCTGGAGAGCAACGACCCACGCTTCCTGATCGATATCGCATATGCACGACGCTTGCAGAAGGAACGAGTGATACTCTGGTGGTCTGGTCAGGCGAAGCCAGATCACGCTGGGTACGAGAAGGATGACATTCTTGGGCCCCTGGAGACGGTGGACATGCCGTCGGTAAACAACCCCGGTACATACTCGTCAGTATGCATCGACATCAACCTTCGTAACCTCGCTATCAACACCATCCTGTCGTCGTCTCTGGTCAACGAGCTTGAGGGTGCAGACTCTGTTTCCTTCAACCCATCTTATGATTCTACGGGTGACGGCTCCCACGTCATCGTGTCAGACAACGCTTTTGCAGGCGCCGGTATCACCGTCCTCCGAGAGATGGTAAAGGCATGGTGGGTTGAAGCTGTTCAAGCCGGGCACGGCTTTAGTATGGCCGATGTCATGGTTCAACATCTCGTCCGCTGGGTCAGCAGTCCGGGATCGTTCCTCTACGACCGTGCACTGCACTACTATGTCCAGATGATGTCGAAGAAGACGCTACAGCAACTCATGACAGACTTCAAGCGTGTTGGCTCGCACATCGTGTTTGCTAGTCCGAACCGCCTGCTTCTCCAGACAACCAAAGCCGAAGTAGGCAACGCTTATGCGTACAGTCAGTACATCATCAAGACGATCAAGTCGAAACCGCTCTTCCAGTTCATGGAGCTTGAGATCAAAGAATACTGGGACTACTTGGTCTGGTATGATGAGTTCAACTACGGAGGCAAAGGATGCAATGAAGTCACCGAGGACGAGACACAGCCGGTTGAAAACATCATGTGTTGGCAGCTTGCACAGTTCCTGCCGCCGAAGTTCCAGCCTACCTTCAACGATTGGGTCGTTGAGTTCATCGAACTCATGCACGCACGGAAACGTCCTGGAATCACGGAAGACGGCTCGACACCCAGAGTCACACAGATTCCGCTTCGACCACTGACTGTCGATCCGAACGAGCAAACGCAGATCCTACCGAAGCAGTTTACTAGACCCCTGTCGAAACAGATGAACGTTTTCGCTAAGAAGCAACACGCAGAGGTCTTGGATCCACTCTTCGCATCCGACTACGTCTTCCCCGAACTCCCGGGCTCGCATCTCAAGCTCACAAATCCGGTCTTGCAACTCGTCAAGAGCATCATGCAAGTATTGAGCCTGGATCGTGCCATCTCGCTCGAAGCGCGTGCGCTGCGAAAGGAGTTGCTGAACCTATTCGACATTCGCGAGTTCAGCGCGGAAGCCAGCTTCACCAACCCCAGTGCCGCCCTCGTCGTTCGAGGCGTTATCTGTGATGATTGTACATCTTCACGCGACCTGGACCTTTGCCGCGACTCTTCTCTGCTTCCGGTCATTCTTCCCGACAGCGATGCCGCCCCCGTCCTCCCCAAATGGAAGTGCGATAACTGCGAGTCAACCTATGACAAGCGACGCATCGAAGAGCAACTCGTCGGCGAAGTGCAGAAGATGGTACTCGAGTGGTGTACGCAAGATCTGAAGTGCGGCAAGTGCAAGAGGCTACGCAGCAATGAGTTTATGGAACACTGTGCTTGCGCAGGCGAGTGGGTAGCTACGAAGAACAAGCAGGAGATCAAGAGGAAGATGAATGTGTACGGCAATGTTGCAAGATTCTATACGCTGGGTATGTTGGAAGCTGTTGTTGAGGAATGTTTGGAGAGTTTCTGAAGGGCATGTGAAATTGCTGTATGATGGCGATCGATCGGTACGGCGTTATTGTCTTGGGCATGTGTGCGGAATCGGGGCGCGCGGCGTCCTCGGTCTTAGTCCGCATGGGTTTTGATATCGATTTCCCGGGCTTTTCTGCCCTGTAGCATTTAGAGGCGTTTGGAGCGACTAAGTGGGGTAAAGGTCCTCCATTCGTCCACTTCGCGTCTTGTTTATCCCGACGTACATATATCAACCAACCCTTGTAACAATCTTATCAGCTCATAAAATCACGACCCTTGCTCACTGCCGATTTCTGATCAACAGTGATGAGCAGCGATCCGAATGCAAAAAGCCAAGAAAGGATTACGTTTGAGACATGGGAGGTAGGAGCGGGGCTTGCGTCAACTTGGTCCTGGGATGCCGTGCGAGCACGCCATTTGGGGCTAAATGATCGCAAACAACAACATGGATTCAGATATGATGCGATAACATCAGGATGAGGGGATGAGGGGGAGACGAGGCTTAGGAAGGCAGGGATCGATGGAAATGAAAGTATATATAGACAAATCAATCTTGCTTTTACGTGTTTTCAACGGCTTTTGTGTAACCTTCTTGATCACATCCATTCGAGGAATTGAAGAGACACACATACCCAGCTCTTCGTAATTCCACTTATCCTTTTCAAGACCGAGCTCCTGCCGTCCAATTGGCTCGAGAACCTTCACCAGAATGGCGCCAGCACTCACTTCTCCCTCGCCTAGTGCACCACACACACTCTCCGACCCAACCACTACAACCACAAAGAAAGCCCCCAAATCCATCTTCCCAGATGGAATACGCACATCAGGCCAACACGAGCCCATATACTCCCTCTTACAACCCTACTCTGCCTTCCCCAAAGAAATCACCGGCCCAACAGCATGGAGCAAAACAGACTACGCATCCAACCCCGAACGCTGGACGCACATCTTCTCCGCGGACGAAGTGCGCGAGATGAGCGAAGCAGCAGATGCCTTCATCGCCTCTGGAACACCCTTGACAGGCATCACTAAAGATCTATTCCCACTTCCCAACTTCTCAAAGTTCCTTGAGCCGTTGCGAAAAGAATTGATTGATGGAAAGGGATTCATTCTCTTTAAAGGTATGCCTGTTGAGCAGTGGGGGAACCAGAAATCTGCTGTTGCGTATATGGGTCTCGGAACGTATCTGGGTTACTTTGTGAGCCAGAATAGTCGGGGTCATGTACTTGGGCATGTGAAGGATCTGGGTGAAGATGCCACGGCGATCGATAAAGTGCGGATTTATCGGACGAATGCCAGGCAGTTCTTCCATGCCGATGATTCGGATCTGGTGGGGCTGTTGTGTGTGGCTAAGGCGTTGGAGGGTGGGGAGTCTGATCTTGTATGTCATGTTGCGATTTCCCGAGTTCGCAAGACATCTCCAAAAGTATGCGGTTTTGCTGACTCGTTGCGTGTACAGGTCAGTAGCCATGAAGTGTGGAATGATCTTCAGAAAAACCACCCTGATGTTGCCGAACTACTCACCCAACCTATCTGGTACTTTGACCGCAAAGGCGAGACAAGCGTTGGACAGAAGGAATGGATTAAAACCGCCGTGTTCTACCTCGAGACGGGAGAGAATCCAAGGGTCTACAGCAAGTAAGCAAGCGCCTGAGGAACCATGAAATCCTCAAATTTTCAGACTGACAGAGCCGTCAACAGATTCGACCCCTACTTTGTCCGTTCCTTGACCCGTTTCTCGGACGCAGGTCTCGTCCCCGCTCTTTCCGACGCCCAAGAGCGCGCCATTACCATTCTCGAGGAGATATGCCAAAAGCATGCGCTGCACATGATTCTGGACGTGGGCGATATCCAGTTCCTGTCCAACAACCATATATTCCACGCCAGAACAGCGTACAAAGATTATGCGCCACCGGCGCCAAGGAGGCACTTGATGAGGTTGTGGTTGAGTACGCCGGAGGGCGAGGGTGGATGGAAATTGCCGTTCCACGATAGTAACGAGAAGAAGAGGGGTGGGATTCAGGTCAACGATACGGCACCCGTTGCACCGTATGACGCGGAGTAATCTGTTGTCGCGTGTGGTTCGTGATTATCTAGCTCTGTAAGTAGCTTGCGAACGTTTGTATAGCAAAGAAAATCGGAGATTCGCAGAAGACCGTAAAGTATTGCGATTCAATGTGGTATCATTCTTCTCTCGAGGCGCGACCTTTGCACCAACCCTTGTGTTTGGACGCCACACATGCTGGACTGTCTCTGCACGTTCAGCTGATCCAACGGTGATCCTACTGCGCGTGCAGCTTTGGTGTCGTGTGTGCAGTAACCCGTAATTTCAATCTTCCAAATTTCATAGCGCAATCCCCAGCCGTTTTGCGACGCCGTGAAGCGCATCTGCGGGTGATCCTTCTGGCCTTCAATCTCTGATGTCTTTTTCTGCGCCTAGAAACCCCGTCCGCGTCCCCTGCCACCGCCGCCTCTTCCGCGACCACCTCCACCACGTCCACGGCCTCCTCCGCGGCCACCGCCCCTTGCACCACGGTCACCACCACCGACCTCTTTCCTTGCCTTGTTCTTGGGCTTGGGCGCGTCGTCGATGAGAAGTGTGTCGAGCGGTAATGAATCAGGGAGGATGATGTAACGGATTGTGGAACCGCGGACGGTCATTGTGTCGAGGGCTACGGTGTCGCGAGACTTGGGCGTGTACTTGACGGCTCTGAGCGCGACATTCATGAGCGGTGAGACGGAGGTGATTGTGCCGTTTACGATAGTGCCTGTTTTCCTGTCAGATCGTGTTTCCAGGAAGTAGCTGAATGAAGGTTTCGATGTAAAAGCGTGCTTGCGCAACCCTAAGACGCGCTCGCAACAGAGCTGCTGTCGCCAGACAACAACGCGATGAAAGTAGAAAACAGAGAGGAAATGTGGGCTTTACTGACCATTCTTGAGCTCGACTGTGACCGTCTCATTCTGGCACTTCATAAGAAACCTGCGCGAAGCCGTTAGTTGCAAGTCTCGCAGAAGTTGAGGGCTAGCCTACCTGACGAGCTTCATGGTTGCTGCTTTTCGACCTGGGCAGTAGTATAACGCGGAGTAGTTGTATGGGTATTATGCTATCGGCGATTGGATATGGTATAGCTGCTGCGGCGCGAAGATACTCGCGGGGAAGCTCCGACTAGGAAATTGCGATCGAGCTTCAGGCTGCACGGACCAAGGTTAATCCGTGACCGAAGTCACGTGCTCTGAAATTCACGCCCTCAAGATCAACATCAACATCACGACCTTGTACTACACAAGCAATAGGATGAAATTCGGCCTGAAGCATATGACTTCCTCGTCTCCTCTGAATTACGTACGATAATTCTAGTATACATACCGAACATACAATGACACGTTACTCATTCCTTCCTTCGATAAAAGAGTAAGTGCCCCAACGTCCCTCAGCCGACCCTTGGCCACCCTTGCGCTGCTTGCCTTTACCTTCGTGCTTGGTACGAGGTTCTGAAGTAGGCCGTGTAATCTTCAACGACCGATCTGCTTTTATCTGCCGAACTTTTGGCGACCCGCCTGCCCTGCGAGAAGAGCTTATGCTGTCTGGTGTATAGAAGATCTGCTCAGATTGTGCCTCTTCTCGAGCAGTAACCGGAGCTGCGTTCAAAGCTTGTTGCATCTCATCACTCGAGGATTGATATGTAGGCGCTGCGGGTTCGTACTGTATCGGTCTGTGTGTGATGTCGAAGCTGTACGTCTCCTTCAAGTACTTGGCGATGGCATGGTTCTCTTCCTCAGTGCCACTGCCGTAGTAACTCTTCAGCTCCTTTGCTACGAGCGTGTCCAGAATAACGCCTCGGTTCAGCGGTTTCTCACCCGCCTGCTTAGAAGGATTGTTGCTCGGTAGCGCAACTGTGGCATCCCAGCGCAGGCCCATAGCGGCAAGTCTGTCTCTGCCTGACCAGCCTGTAGCGCGCAGTGGGGTCTCCTGAACAAAGCTTCTGACGCGCTCCTCAAGGTCTTCCCAGCTAACTTGCTGAACAAACCAAGGTCGCAGCATCTCTTCAACGGCGCCAGAAAACCCACTGAACGATTTGTTCGAATAGTACAGATGTTGAATCTTGCCCATAAGAAAGCCCACATCCACTCCCGTGATGGTAGGATTTACGCCGACTCGGCGCAAAAGCTCATGCCAGTCTTGGAAGATGTGCTTTCGAAGGCCCACTTCAGAGTCGACCTGTAGGGCTTTAATAAAGCGGCATAGAACTACACGAGCTTCTACTTGTGTCACCTCGCCAGCGATGTCGATGACTGAAGTATCGAATAGTTGAGGATGGGTCTGGGTGAGTAAGCGCGCTCGTGCTTTTTTGAAATATACAGCCGCTAATTTGCGTTCACTGATGGCTTCCATGGCCGCGTCTAGGGGCATTTTCAACGCAGCCTCGTATTTCATGTTCCGAAGATAACCTCGTAGGTGGAACTCAAGCTGTTCCACTTTTATGATATCCTCGATACCGCCATTGACATGTCCTCGGCGGGGGTCGAAAGGTGGTGCTAAGTTTGCTGCTCGTAGAGGCTCCATGATGTCGCTTGGTAGGAGATCTCTGCTACTAGGGTTGACGCCCAAGCTGTATAGGAGAGTGCGGTAATGTTGAGACAGAAAGCGCGCATCCAACGCAACGAGCCTTTTCGCTCGATCGACAATCTGCATTCTCATTGCCGGCGTCAATGGCCCGTAGAAGTCACTCAAGACTTGTCGTCCTTCTGCTTCGGCACGCAAGCGCGCAGGGAGACCCATTTCTTTTCGGCACTCCGCGACAAGAATCTCTAGATCAATTCCGAAATTCCCTGTAGCGTACGGTAAACTCGATTCGATGTTCCTAAAGGTCTCGGCAGATGGCTTTTCGTAAAAGGCAGGGTTGTCTTTGATGAGGGTCTTAATTTTCCTCATGTAGTCCTGTCTTTCTTCTTCTCCGGGAAACAAAGAATAATCCCATACCGAGAAAACCCCTTCACCGGCTGCGGATTGTGTGGATCTTGTAGGAGTGTAGAGCTTTTCGCCCGCAGGGTTACGGTATCCACCATTGATATACATGATGCTTGGATCCTTGGAAGCCCTTTGCTCTATGCTGGTGATTCTGGCGACAAGGATAACATGATCTGCGATGGGAAATTCATGGGTGACCTTGCACTCCATCGCAGCCAACACCTGTTCCCCCAATACCTGCGGCGCAAGAGAAGGCATATCACTAGGGTTATAATGATGCCTGGGCTTATCGAGATTAGGCTGATAGAGTCTAAGTTCCTTTGATCGCAGATTGTAGGCATCCGGATGGTTCCCTCTACAAAATAGATCGACGACTTTCGCACCGCCTCTGTCAGCGGAGGGGTAATGAACGCGAAAAAGGCCATTGGCTGCCCGGATAGCGTCTAAGGTCTTGGACGGTTGTTTGATGTTGAAGGAAATCGTAGGCGGATCGAGTGTGACGGTGCTAAGTGAAGAAACGGCAACGCCCATGGGAACGTGTTTTTGAGTATCGGGGTCGATACTTTTGACCGTGAGAACTGCGACCGAGCTCGGAACGTTACGCATCACTCTGCGCACCGAGTTCTTGAGTCGCTCTTCCCCCAGCTCCGCCTCAGAGAGCTCAAAAGAAGCATCTTGCTCTTCCACAGGCTCCTGCGTGTTTGCTATCTCCTCTGATATGCTTTCTGCCGGTCGTAATATTTGTACCCCTCCTCTTCCTGATATCCTCGGATTCTCCTCCCCAGCTCCTATCGCTTCTTCCTCATGCGATTGCGACGGGGAGTGACTTTGTTGTTGCAGCAGACGAGTCGTATTATAGTAGCGTGGGGCGCAGATGCCGTTGCAGGGATGTGTATCGCGACGAGGGTATTGAGAGGTAACTGCACATGGTCTTGACCGTTCTAAGAGGATATTTAGTATATATGTATCAATGCGCACTAAGGCACTAACGAGTGTGTTGATTCCATCTGTAGAAGGCTGCGAAAAAGCGCGAAGCCGGGCGCTGCGAGAGCGCCATGTTCAGAGTAAAATCTTCCGGCTTGACCTCATGCGCCGAGGAGCAGGAGCGCGCTATGTTTCGAGAAGACGCGACTGTTGGAGGGCAATTCGGTGCGAATGACGAAGTGCGCGGGTTGAAGATGGAAATGTTAGATCGGCCAAGGCTGACCTCCGCCTCTTCGCCGCAACTTTCCTCGCCAACTTCAACACACGACCCCAGCACAAGTCACTATGGCGTCTCCAGTACCCTCAATGGGCGCACTGCGCGTCCTCCGACAATCGATACAGCCTCAAATACGCCAGACGAATCAAGTACGACACGCGACGCTTCTCCGCCGACCCAAGCGACCCTACACCTTCACCCAACTCGTGACCCTCTCTGACGGCAGCTCCTTCACCCTACGAACCACAAACCCACAGCCCGTATACAAGAGCGCAAAGGACCAACGGAACTCTCCGCTGTGGAACCCGAGTTCACACAAACTACTGAATGTCGAGGAGGATGAGGCTGGAAAATTGGCGGCTTTCAGAACAAAGTTCGGACGAGGATGGGATGCGGAGACTGATGCCGAGAAGGTACGTCACGAGAAGGAGGCTGAGAGAATATACTACGAGTGTTTTGGCTAACTCATGGACAGGGGAAGCAGACGGAAGACCATCTTCTCGATCTTATCAGTAGTCAGGGCAAGCCGCCAGGAAAACCGACCGATGCTACCAAGACACCACCTGCGAAAGCGCCTGCATCGACGCCTGCGAAACCAGCCGCGAAGAAATGAGGAATTTGTATACAAGACAACGAATGCCACAATACCATGGCACCATTGTGCAGCACGTTGCAAATGTGGATGGGGTTTCATTGCAGGGTTCGACGACAGGCGCACACTATTACAGTCATGCAATCCTTTCTGTTCCGCTAGTAAACAGTCAGAGTGCCTCGTGAGTTGTGTTGGTGTCACACAATGGGAAGACTCGTGCCCAGATGCGCCCATGTACCGCTCCACACTCCTCGCTCGACTCATACAGTCAAGTATCTTCAAAACCCACCCACCAACGAACAATGACTTACACACAAAACCTTCTTTCTTAACTCTCTCAATTGAAGTTCATATCTCAGTGATCGATTCTATTGGACACCGCACATCATCATGGCAAAGTCCAGCCACAGCAAGATAGTCTGTGCTACGCCTCACAACGACGCCCAGCGAAAAGTTACAAAGCCTCCAATAAAGGGCAAGGCGGCCCCGAAACCAACAAGCAATCGGCATATGAAGGGCTGGGTACATGAGGAGGATTCTCCCGACTTGTCTAACATCATCATCGGTGACCCCAAGGACCCCAAGAACATCATCCATGGCAAAAGGACGCGGAATGGCTCTCACATGAGCGAGTCACAGCTAGGGAAAGCTACAAATCCGATCACTCTACCAGACGACGACAATATATCAATTCAGACAGCAAACGCCCATGCAGCGTCTCCCACGGCGTCCCGCAAACACAAAGATAGAGCATCTACAATTTCCGTCGAGGAACCCGCGGATGCCACGGAAAGTGATAATGAGCGACTAGCCCAAGCCGAAGAGGACAACAGTCTCGCTACAGAAGAACAAATGTCACCTAAAAAACTCAGCCGTAACATTCTGGCTCTCATCAGCCATTCTTTGCAGATCGCCGAGGACGTGTCGGCATACATGCAACATACTATCGGCCACGAGGTACATGCACAGGAGCTAGAACGCGATGTGGAAAAAGTATTGACTGGCCGGGTGAAGAAGAGGAAGAGCAGTAAGAATGTCAGATTTGTGGCCTGAGCTGAGGCTCTGGCAGTTTCAATAGGTGTTCATGCTTGGTGGACGGTGATGAAGGTGCATATTCTGATCAAGATCTCTATATGTTATGGAGTCAACTGTCTATTTTCTTATTGCTGTTTCACTAGCTAGTAATATAATTCTCATGTCTTTACGCTGCCAGTCTGATACAACACGATGGATAGTGTTTTGATCTCAAGAGCTCAATGACATTTCTAGTACATCAAGTGCGACTATATCTATATACACGTACCATTCTAATTCCCGCCCACAAAATCCAGACGAGAGGTATAAAACGCATAAATCATAAGCAAAACAGCCATGATATCCAAAATGCAGGCAAGCTTGCCACTGGCGACATACATCAAAGATCAAACCACACCATCCCCAATGACCCTCCGCTCATGACCAACCCACTCATCCCCCTCACTCCTCACACTCCCCGTCCGCTCCCTCCCCTCCTCATCAATCTCCACCTCCCTCGTATGGATAGTCTGCACCCTGATATTATTCAACTCGACCTCATCCCCAAACTCCTCTCGTGTGGGTGTGCGGTACATGCCGCGACTTGGGGCGCGGAATTTGCTGGGCGGGGACGAGGATTTGCATTCCGTTGTGACGCTTGAAAGCACCAATCGGGGTGAAGTCTGTGGACGGTTGTTGTGATGTGGATTGTGTGTGTTGATCGAGCAAGGGAAGACGTTGAGGCTGGGTCTTCGGGAGTTTGCGCCGCTGTTGGTTCTGCTGCTGCTGATGCTGATGCTGTTGCCGCCGGTCGGCGACACGTCGGCCATGCCCTTGATGGTGATGATTTCGCTGCGCAGCTTTTCTTCGGTGTTGTCTCCATACATCAACTTGCTTTGCCGTCTTTGATGTGATGTTGTACCGTGTCTTGAACCAATGTTTTCGCCTCCCGTACCGCTCGTTGCGTCGGTAGTCATCATCGTCTTGTCTTTGGATGTGACCCAATGTAGGACCAGCGAACAGAACAGAATGTCGGCGTTGCAGCAGATAAAGCAGATCCAGGCTGGTTCACCTTGCAGTATCATGAGGACGGTCAGGTTGACGACGGAGGTGGTGAGGGTGGCGAGGGAGCCCATGAGCGAGCGCTTGGCTATCCGACGGAGTGTAGGGTTTGTGTTGTTTTGATACGAGTAGAGACTGCGGAGGGGAACGACGAAGAGAGCAGTCAGGCAAATCTGAAGTTCAGTCAGTTTCATTTGTGTCGGAAGGCACCAGAGTAGGAAAATGGAAGATGTACGTTCACAACGACCTCAAAAATGATCAAGGGTAGCATGGCGATCCTCTGCATGCCAATAATGCACACGCCCTCGTCATCGATGTAGCTTATCCGACTACGGTGCGTCAGTATTCGATCTTCTTTCTCGATGCAAGGGTGGGGTTTGCGGCTTACTAGACGAAATTCAAGACAACCAGGACGGTATACGGCACTTTAGCATCATCAGCGCGGGTTCTCTGGACCTGTTGGTCGCAACGTACGCAGCATGAATAGGCAGTTGAAAAGCCACAGCTTAGTCTTCAAGCGAGGCTTTTGACTCCCCCGAACGACATACTAAATCCAATCAGTAACAGCTCGAACAAGAGAAGAAAGAGGAGCCTTGTACTCACAGCTTTCTCAACAAGGAAATAGTATGTCAGGATCTTCGTCGTCATGTAACATAGCAAACCTGTGCAAGGATTAGTCTCCGGTTCACGCAATCTGGTATCGTAGACTTACACAAGAAGACCCCGCTTTCACAGGCCTGCGGTGAGGAATTGATGCCAACCCCGTGAAGCATAATTGCTGTGGCAAAAACGAACAACGCCGAGTCGCAATATATGATGATGATTACTGATCCATTTCGTTAGGATGATGCGCATCAAATGCCCCGAGAGCGTGTGTTTCGTTGCACATACATATCGTGGCCAAAGGCAGCGCCATCCACTTCGTGATGGACTGAGTTCGTCGCACTGTCACATCTTGTTAGCATTCTCATTCTTTTGAAGTAGCACCAAAAGTTGAAAACCTACTTATGCAAACCGTAAGTGCACCAAAAGTAATGATCTCCAGCATGACACTGATTATCTGTCCCACTCGCGGCACCAGCGCGTTGGCAAGGACGTGACCTTCCATGGTCTCGGTATCGTGTCGTATCTTTAGCCTCGCCAGAAAAGGTTGTTGCACGTCCAAGTGACCAGATATGAGGAAAGAGAGAAGTAAAAAAAAGGTAGAATATTACGGATGATGAAATGAGAAAGAATGGCCACGATCAACCTCACGAACCCGGCTCTGGGTACTACAGCGAGAAGTAGGAAATCCCATGTGCAATTGACCCTTTACCGCAGAATCCGCACCCAAGTGCGTCGGGGCTGGAAAGTGCGCCATCGAACCTTGTACCCATAGTCCTGGCTAGCCAGGCCTCTGATCCTGTTGGGGCCAAGAGACTGTCGTACTTCGTATGCACAACGGTCAGTGCTGGGTTCGGAAGTTTGATGACTGCGACGGAAGCACGTCCGGGGGATCGCCTTTCGCTTCCTAGGGGTAGAACAGCACGCCTGACGCCAACGCCACTCGTAGGCCAGAAAGTCAGACTGCGGGTGAAGTCTTAGCTTCCTTGACTCATTTACATCCGAGCACAATATAAGTCTGATAGGATGGCTCGCTGTTAGCCTAGTGGGCTCATGAACATAATGAAGGGGAAGAGTGCATTGACGTGAATTGCATCTAATACTTCGCGAGATATCGATGTGATCAAGCAAGACGTGCATGTCAAGGGAGGAATTCTCGAAAACCATTTATCCAGGGCCAGTACTCCACGCCGGGCTAAACAAGACGGCGGGTCCTCGCTAATCTCACGTGGTTGACGTAGCTTCGAGATCTCGAATTCCTTAGCGTCCCAGATGTTCCACAACGGTATCCAAGCCGATTGGACTGGAATGATCGTGCCATCTCAAATCAGTGTCGAAGAATCCCCCGAAGGATGTCAAACGTGGCTAGACTGAAGAGTAGCTTCGCCAAATGCAGAGCAAGAGACTAATGCCGCTCTTCCGAATACCAACAAGCCTGAAGCGTAGCGTCTGTGCTGCTACCTCGCCGAAGTGACCGCTTAATCAGTAATGGGGGCAGACTCGCGTAGCAATGTTCATGCAAGTCTTTTAAAGTTCAAACAACGTGGCTTGCCGTAGTGTTCGGAAGACGCAATCCTCATAGCTCCTGTTGATACAGCTCTTCGTCGGTGCCATCTTTCCGAGCGTTCGCATAACTGTCATTAACGCCCTGGGCAACCCATTCATCCCTGATCAGTCTAGCAACGTTTTTCCCGCTCAATGCACTCGTCTCCATGGTGCTGATAAAGCTCTCGATTCCGCTGGTATACCACAGTCCGTCGTCTAGCTTGATCTCCTCAAATGTTATGCGTGGGTATTCCCGTGGGTATGAGTACCATAGTTTGTGGTGTATCCAGCTCACCGTGCCATTCACGTCCCCGTGTTCGGCTTCCTCGTTCGAGACATGTTGGCCAAGGACGCGCGAGAGGAAGGTGGCGTTCACACGGGCGGGTGAGAAGATCTTGTAGATGTATTCCAATCGAAGCGGGGAAGATCCCGGGTTAATGCCAGCATCGGATATAGATATGCTGAAGAAATTGGGCGATCCGACACCATCCACCGGGACCTCAGACGGGGGTAGCGTGGTGAGAACGTATTGCGGTACAGGTGTCTCAGGCCCAAGGTTGAAAGCTTCTTGGTCCAATCGGAAGGGCGATGCGAATAGGGTAGTGTACAGTTTCGCATAGGGGATCTCATCGGGAATGTGCTGTGGCGCAGGTTGGATATCAAGATCTGAATATTGAAGAGGGGATGCGAGGATGACATCGTCGAAGACCGATGTGTGGCCGGTACTTGTAGTAACTTCATAGCTGCCATCGTGCTGCTTCGAGATCTGGGCGACAGAAGTGTTGAGGTGGACATTGGCGCGAGAGGTTTTCAGCATATGCGCAAAGATCTGCCAGTTGCCTCCTTCAATCTGCATTGCTCCGTTTGTTGCCATGCAAACCATTGTCTCCAAGCCATGAATATAAGGCAAGTTCGAGGCGTAGTTGACCCGGGTGCTGGCTTGGATAATCTCCTTGGAGAACGCTTCCCCGATTCCATTCGTCCTGAGGTACTGTTCCCCTGTCACTCCAGTAGCTTCCAACAAGCCCACACGCTCGACGGCGTCACTCAAGCTCTTCCACGGAAACACCGGTTCATCATACATCTCGAAGAATCTGCCCACGGCACTCTTCATCAGCCTATTTGTCCAAAGCGGCGCAGCGCCATATCTCCACAGCAGCTTCGCCTTGTCCCACCAAGTATCACCTGCTTTCGTCACTACAACGAATTCTTGTCCATTCCAGATGCCCAGATCAGGCATTTCCATTTGCGTTGCGAGATCTCGTGCTCCAGCAGTAGATAAGTTGAATTCCTCCTTGGCTTTCACCATTATTCGATTGCTCTGTACAAAGATGCTGCCGCCCAGCTCTACAGATATCGTCGGATCGTTCCATGGGTTCACGGTCGTTGTGCGGCCGCCGACGTAGTCGTTGCGTTCGAAGACGGTGATGTTTGTAGGGATGCCTGCTTCGGCGGCATATTGCGCGAGATGGTACGCAGCGGATGAGCCACCTGCACCTGCACCTTCTTGGAGTCAGCATTTGTGATAGATCTTCTGGGGATATGGGCTCACCTATGATTGCTACCTGCTTTACGTGGTGAGCCGGATCATTGGGTGTGAGAGCAAGTGCAGAAGGTAGCACCGAGGCAAGGCGCAACCACCGCGTCATCATGTTTACTCCTTCAAAAAGGCCGTGCCGCTTATATGTATGTTCAGGATGAAATGTGAGGAATGAAGAAGCGTCGTCAGGTTCAAGTGATGTCGCAGGTCATGGTGGTGCGAAGGCAAAGGTTGGTATGGAAGGGCGCGGCAACGGTGATGATGGTGACGCGGCATGGATCAGCCAGCGGCAGCTACGAATAAGCATCTGAATAGAACATCGTACTTGTGCAACAAGACGATGTGAGTAAGGGATTATTCACGTATGATTATCCGTCGCCAATTCGTGTATTCTGTCTTATTCAGTAAATGCGACAGATGAGGACCGGACGACGCGCAGGGGTTCGCGTTGACACGTGCTTGAGCTCGATAGGCACACTCCCGAGGTCGATCTTCAGGCCGCGCTGTCCCCGATAGTCATGTTGCGGCCAATTCACTCAGCAAAATGTTAAGAGGTAATCGAGAGTGGATTTCTTAACGCTATAGGTGAACAAAACGCCCGAAAAATGATGCTAAACGTATAGTAAACCGAAAGGATTCCTTGTTACACCGTACTCCAAACGTGCCGCTAATCCAACGTGTACTTGCCCATGGCTCGTATCATAAGTATCGTGAGATGGTCATTATCCATGTTTGGGCTTACCCACCTTATTACACTTCTCCGGAATTACGATTACTTCTCCTCGACAGCTCATACAGCAAACTTGACCGTCCGCTTCGTGGTCTCGATCTTGTTGACAGGCATGACTTCCCGTTCAACTGTCACTTCCCGCGAAGGCGTGTCTCGCACACCCCTTCGCCGTCTCTCACTACGTTTCGCTCTCGCCTCGCGAGTCTCACGTAGTTTCCATTCGGTCAACTGTTGTCGCCGCTTCTGCGACCTCGCATATGCTAATGCTGGTGTAGGCTTGAAGCCAATCCCGTTGAGTCCAATACCGTCATCATCTGGGTCAGTCGAAGGATCGACCAAGTGTCCCGTGATCTCGCTATCTCGCCACGTGAGAGCCGACATTGAGGGCGACGGCGATCTAGCCCGAGGGCGGGGTTGCGAAGAAGAGGGGTTTTGCGCGCGCGACTTCTGCTTTGCAGCTGTGTGCGACTGCAGGGTCGTGGGTATAGGCGATGAGACGAAGCTGGTGTGTTGGGCAAAAGAAGCGATATCTGGCAACAAGCGGGGTTGCGACGCCTGAGGGGTCTCTGGTATCACCCGAGAGAGGTCCAGCTCAGTCGTCACAGCGACAGTATCCAAGTCTTCCCCGTTTGTATAGGTGTTGAATTTCTCGCGTATGGTATATGTATCTGATGCAGTTCCACTGTCTACCCTCATGGCATCGAGCTTCGGCTTCTTGCGTATCACATCGTCGGTTGGCGTGAGCGGGGACATGGGTATTGCCGCGAATGCAGCGAGGTTCATACCTCGCAGCTGATCTGCGACTACATTTCGTGGGCTATCAGGACCTGATGAGGGCGCGGGGCTGCCTCGTGGCGGTGCGGATGCGGGACGCAGGGCGAGGGCCGTGTTGAGCAGCGGGACAGGCGGAGGTTGATCGCGCTTGCGCTTCGGGGATGGATGCGCCAGTTGCGTAGGCATGTCGCCGGTGAATAGGGTACCAGAATTACATCGGGGACTGCAGGTAAAGGATGTTGGTGGAGTCTACAACGGTATTGTTGTTGTGTGGAAGAGCAACAGCGAGCAAATCGCACATGATCGCCGGTTACGCGAATGTGGGGCAGATGCACAGGCCCGCTGTAGGGCTGAAAGACACCCTGGCGCGCACCACTGCACGCAGATGTGCGTTGCGGTCCGACTCTTGCTGTCATTGCCATGGTTGTATGCAGGTGCACTTCTATCGCTGTGTTTGGTTTGTTCGTTTCGAGGTCGTAATCTCCCATGTTGATTTACCCTCCAAAATAGGCCTAGCCAGTTTACGCTTCCCTTGCTGCTGCCTGATCCAGTTGCTTGCGCTGTCCGTTGCTAACATCCCTCTTACTCGGTCCAAGTTCTAGTGTATATCTAGTCCTCACCTTCACGGTGTTAAAGCAAGAGC